AATTTGGCACCACATTTTTGAAAATCGAATGAACGGTGGAGATCTGAAAAATTACCAAAATATCAATTTGCGTATTATACTTAACGATGCCACGTCGTATGAGTAACTTCAGATTTTTGAAATGATGTATTTTACGTGGAAAAATTCTAGAGTATTTGTTTAGGAAAACCATTCGAAATTATTTGGTGTGTGTTTTGGTCTTTTTTCTAAGTGATGATCAAATGAAATAGAAACTATATCATAAGAAGATACATAACTGTGATATTCACGCAGGTACATACCTAAATCGAGGATAAATATTGAAGGATATTTTTGGCGCATGTTTTAGGTTTTAGGTAGGTGTTTGAAAACTTCTTGCGGATTGGTGGACTACGCCCTTTCGAACCCTGCTCCTACTACAGCGTGTACGACCCTCCTACGCTCAAGGAAAGAGTGGAAACTAGACGCTCTAAGGAGTGGCGACTTCATTCATGTATACACAGATGGTTGATAGGTCAAGGGAAGGGTTGGTGCGAGTGTATGCTCCGAATACTTGGGAATCTCCCTTAGCTTTAGTCTTATGGACCACTGTTGGGTATTTCAGACGGAACTGATGGCTATCCACCGAGCCACAAAACTGGCAAAGGGTGATATGATATCCCAAGCTGATGTCTACATTTTCACTGACAGCCAGGCGGCAATCAAATCCCATACGACGCAGTCGACAACCTCCTCCAAAACCTATATTGAGGATATAAACGTTGGAATAGAAATACCCTTACAAACTTGCAAGCTGCTTATCTCCGAGAGGCTCAATGAAGTAGCGAACGGCAGATGGCATGACGAAATCACTTAATTTTATAGAACCAGCTTGGCGCAAATACTCCCTTCTAGATAATTAAAATCAAAATACGCATGCCTAATATGAATGTATACCCATTAATCATTTAAAACTACCAACTGATTTTATATTCGACTAAGGGACCAACATATGTGCATAGTAGTCAAATTTGTTAATCATTAAAATTTCAAGCAACAACTTTTCATGAACTGTCAGCTGCATATCCTAGTCCAATCATTACAATCAGGAATTGCTTTACAGAATAAAATCAGAAATTGTGTCATTAAAAAATAACAATTTTCCAACAACAGCACAGCGAATCATAACGAAGCACCTGAAATGAAAGTAAGGCCCTAAGAACAGCTAGTGAGCAGAATTTAAATGAAATGATATGCGCATATTTGCAATTTACGATATTTTTCAATTTCTCTCCAAAATGGAAATAAACCCGTAGAGGCGAAGGCAAAAGTGGCTTCAAAAGCAAGAAAAAAAAAACAAAAAATAAATGCAAAAAAAATATGCACACGGGCTACCGTATTTATGTATGTATAGTACTAGTACAGGGTGTCTTTTTGGAGGTATTCAACCCTTATTTCAAATAAAACATAGAAATATTAATAAAATAGCGAATATTTAGGATTTAGTACGCAGTTTGCAATGTTCACGTCATTTACTGTTTGAACACAATTTCGGGAAAATGGGTCTTATTTAAGACCATCTTGTCGATCCAATTTTGCAATACTTTTTCTAGCATATCCGGTCGTAGTTGGTTTATCAGCATAGGCCAACGGAGTAAAATCACATGAAGTGGGTGACCTGTTTCTTGATATGATGCGTTAGCCAAAAGTTCGACCCCATAAACCGATGGTTCATGCACTTAGATGATTTGCCTGCTCAGCTGAACTATTATGCGCACCGCAATCATTGTTCTATAGATTCGCCTTATAGAGCCTGAAGTTTGGAAATAAACTTCCACGACTAGTAAAAGTTGTAGATAAATGACAAATACATGTGTTTTCTTTGACAGCTGGATTGACAGCTATCGCTCTAGGAAGTTCTATAACTTAAAAAAAAAATAAACACCCTATAAAAATATCGTTGGTATGCAGCATATTTGATATTCAAACATGGCACAAGTGTGCGTGGCATTGCGCTGCAGTGGCATTTGTTACGGGAGTGGCTGTTGCTTCCACAGTCGCACAATAATAGTGGTAATACTGGCAACAACGCAATGGCGGCAGTAGCAACAACAACAAGAGTGACCAATTTTTGCATTAATAGAAAAATGTTGCTGCAACAAACAAAAGGCACATACATACTTATGTTGCATGTGCAAATGTGTATCTTTGCATGTGTTTTGCCACTGCAAGATGCATGACTACTACATATCCATATGTAGCACAAAACTTCTCTGTAAAATTATGTATAGAACGCTTGTGTGGCATTAAAATAACATTTGCAACTCTAGAGTGGCACAATTATTTCACACATTCGAAGCAACAAACATATAGGCACACATACATATGTACATATATAAATACATACAAATGTAAGTGTATACGAGTAAATGGCAACCAAAGGAGCAAAATATCAGTGCTAGCAGTAGCAGAGCAGATGCCTGGCAGGCGAGTAGGGCGAATATGACAGAGCCATATACATACGTAGCTGTGGGTGTGTAGCTTCACCAACAGCTGCAGTACTAGCAGCATCTGGCAAGTGCTTATCATAAAGTTACATAAACACACTAAAAGATAGCAGCACATGCTTTGAGGCACCGAGCAACTAGCTTACATATACATATGTACATAAGTACATACATTATTATATAAACCCTGCAAAAAATGCGACGAATACGGAATGATCTTTATATGG